AGAATAGAGTGAAAATCGTCCTTCTGTTCTCCGCATCTGTTTCCATGCCCGCACATCTCTTGAGCTGGGTCTGTGGGCCATCCCGGGCACTGTGCAGAAACCGGAGCCTTGCTCCCACCTCGCACAAGTGGTCCTTCCTCGGCAGATGGTGATAACTCACAGTTTAAAGGTGGCCTTGTGTGTTACTTTGGGAATGATGCTGTTCATATCCGTAGCTCTGCCACAGCTGCCCAAATGTCCTCATCTGGATCATTTTTCACGGGATGTTAGGAGTGCACATGGGAGGGTGGTGTGGCCCCAGAACTAGCCCGCTTACCGGCTTTGCATGCAGGAGTGGTGAGGCAGAGCGCTTACAACAGGGACTCAGAACACCGGCGGTTCGGTTTCTGGCTCTGCTACAGCCTCTCAGTGTGATCTCAGGCAAAACACTTAATGTCCCCTGCCTCCCAGTCCCAGCATCATGTCCTGTTTCTCAGCTGGTCCGTCTTTACAAGCCTTCAGGGAAGAAATGTCTGTCTACGTGCTTCTGCAGGGACTAGCAAGTGGGTTTTGCTTCTGGCTGGGGCTGCTACTTGTTACTGTAAATTGACAGAGAGTATAATAGCAGCAAAGTTCAAAATAGAAACCTGAAGCCAGTTGGCTCCATCAGCTGTCCTGAGCTGAGCAAACTGTACATTAAAAGTGTGAGAAATTGCCCCAAGTTCACCCAGGAACAGGTGGCTATTCTTGGGAAGGTGGAAGGGGCAGATCACTTCTGCAAGGTGTGATATGCCTCAGTTATAAAGTGGGGAAATTTGGCTTGCTAGTAGTTAAAGCATTCGTTGATTGCTACAGCTAATACTGCAGGTGCTTGAAGTAGGATGTACTGTACAGTCAACTCTTAATTATTTCTGCACAATGAATCCACACTGTGGCTTAATCCTGCAGAGAGATATGGTGGAGACAGAGATGGCAGAGACACCAGCGTCAGTTCTGTGCAGAACCAGCTCACATCCAGCCCGTGCCACCTGCACAGCTATTTACTCTGTAGCAGTACCTGTTCCAGGACCAACTCAGATCCAGAGGAAATTAAGAGCTTTTGAGCAGAGTAGAGTCCTTGTTGGACCTGAGCTGGTCTCCTTGCTCTCCTTTCAGTGTTCAGCGCATGGGGACTGCTGTGCAGGGACACCTGGGTGGCAGCAGGGATGAGCTGGGGTCCCAGTGTCCCTATCACATTGAGGTCAGCATCAGCCAGGAGCAACTTGGGTTCGGTGCAGGGCAGGGCAGTAGCTTTTTCCGGAAGCCAGCATAGGGTTGTGACTTACTGCATGTTGGTTAGGATTTTATTTAGTCTAATCTTAAATATTCCAAGAGATGGGGTTTCGATTGCTTTTTCTTTTGCTATAACTTAACCATTGGTGTATGTTGGAAGTGTGCACAATCCCTGTGATGCTGGGTTAGCAACTTGCTCTCTAGTGGTGGTACAACTACTCTGGTGCCTCTTTCTGGGCTTCCTGCTTGTGGACAGAGGGCAATGAAAAGAGGGAAGCAGGAGCTAACACATGAATCAAAGACAGTTGCCCACTGAGTTGTACTGACTAGCACAGGCACGCCGGGGGAAGGTTTTAACCAGCACAAAGTCGTATTTGTCAGATTTAAGCTGGCAGAAAAGGAACTTGGTCATCCCAAGAAATCTGACTGATGGAAGCCAGCATGGCAAGAAGGTCTTCTGTAGGAGATGCTGTGTGTGAGAGTCACTTTGTGGTAATGGAGCCACCAGAGGAATCACACTCTGTCCTCAGACATTGTCACTGTCTCACACTCTGCTGCTGGGGAGCACTGGAGGGGAGGTGCAGCAAGAGCTGTCCTTGGCTGCTTCATCTCACCCTGGGGAGTTTGGCTTCAAGCAAGGAGGGCAGAGCTATGCCCTGGGCACATCACACTTTGATCTCAGTCCAAGATCCTGTCCTGAGTAAGGACCCCAGACTTAGGTGCTCACTTGAGCTTGACTTTCCTTTGGGGGAAGCACCAATCTGACAGGACCCAGAAAGGCTCTCTGTAGAGCAATCTGGAGCACCTCAGCTGGGCTCTGCATGGGACTCCCAAAGCCAGTGGCCCCTTCCAGAATTAAGCCCATGTGTCCACCCTGCTCCTATGAGTTACCTCCCCCAGCTGGCATCTCGGTGGCCGCGAGTGCTGTCAAGGAAGAGCAGCAAGTGGATTGCTCCTTTCTTCCGTGGGGCTTTGGAAGCGTGCCTTCACCGGCTCTCTCTGAACCTGCAGCACTCCACCTGGTGTCCCTGTCAGCAAGTGTGGGAGTCACTGGAGATGCTGGCAGGAAGCTTGGCTCCTTTGGTTTTATCTGTCCTCCAGCTATTTGGTGGCTGAGGCTGAACAGCTGTGTGTGCTTTCTAGGGCTGTTGCTGAAGAGCACTGCGTGGCAGGTTGGCATCGCCATGGGGGAGGCTTGCCGTGCTCTGGGCAAGCGGTCTGTCTTGCTGGGCAGAGCATCTTCTGTCCCTGTTCTTCTAGGGACAAGGTGAGAATGAGTCGCAAGGTGCACGGGAGAATCAAAAGCTACAGGGTTTGGAGAAAAGGTGCCAGATACCAAGATCATCCACCTGGTGACCTGTTTGTTTCGGCATGAATCCACATCAAGTGTGATGAAGTGGCTGCCGTGCATGCAGGAGTTGAGAAATCCATGCAAAAGTCCAAGGAAGCCCCACGTGTGCTGGGCTTCCAGAAATGTTCATAGCAGTGGGCGATTACTGGCTCCTGTCGACGCTGCAGTGCAGTAAGTGGAGCAGGGGGGATTCCAGCCATCCATGGACGTCCATCAGCAGGGCAGCCAATGGGGATAAATGTCCTGAGGCTCAGTATTGATTCATTTTAAATTTGATTTAGCAACCCAGATTTCCAAGGAGCAAAGCCATGGTATGCCTGGCCTGATGCTGGACTGTGTCTTTCCATGCCAGAGATGCATGGATATTTTCCTGCAACATCAAAGAGACCACTTGGCCATCAAGCCCAGTGCTTTTTGCTACCTCTCATGCCCTGAGAGCTGCAAGTCTTGAAGCCAAGTGCAGAAAGGTGCGTGGAGACTGAACATTCATCCCAGCCAACGGAGAGCTACCCTTGGTCCCCAGGGAGAAGACCTTGACTTTGCCTTATAAGCAGGGCCAGCAAGCCTTGAATGGACCAAAGCTGAGTGAAACCCTTGACTGTGATCTGCCTGGGGGAGCCTGCCCATCGTGGAGCTGGACTCTGAGGCTTTCCCCATCCCCATGGGCTGTCTGTGCTGAGGAAGATACACTTGCTGTCTCTGGGTAGTGTCCAGGGAAGCTCCACTTCATGGCAGGCTGTTGCCCAGATGCTGCTTCTCTGGCATTGCAAGAGGGGCTGGCACGGTTGTGGCCAGGTTTTGGTGGGCACTGGCTAGCCAAGTTCACTGGTAGCTTGGTGGTGGGTCTGCAGTGCAGCCTCTGCAGCCTCTCTGGAGGCTTCAGGAGGCTTTGACTCAGCCAGCCAAACTCTGTAACGCAGACATTTCAGAGGGCATTACAGCAGCACTGTGGCTCACATAGAAACAGCGATAGCTGGAGTGAACTGCCCAGCCTCCATGCCAGCCCCGGTCTGCACCGTTAGCCTGCAGTCTCACTGCACAATTAAATAAGACAGTCATTGATATTTCCATGTGTCTCCCAGACCAGCAGCTAAATATCCTTCCCCTTCACTGCTCTTTGTGCTTGCTGAGCACCAAGCCTTCCTCCAGTGGGAGAGAGGAGCCCCAGCCAGGTGCCTGCCTGTGCTGTCTGGGTGCCGAGCTGTGCAGGCAAGGCTTCAGGTTGCTTTTTGCTGAGGGAGTGTGGGAAGGGTTCATGCCCCACCTATTCAGGTACCATGAATAAAAGCTTTTGCAATGATGCTCCAGTGTATGCACAGCCTGGGAGAAAGCCGCCTTCTTGAAGAAATCAGCTGTCAGATGTCTGGAAGAACTGAAAGTAGGCAGATAAGGCAGGAAGGATCTTCAAAGGTCTGGAGGATGGTGTTGAGTGCTCCAGCTGCCAAGGCTTTGCTAGCATAAGCTAATGACAGAAGGGTGGGCTTGGATGTGTTTCCCTGCCAGACATTGTGTGTCCAGTAGACACACCCATGGTCTTTTTTTCCTTCCCCATGTCTTCAGGCCACCGTTTTGAAGATAACCCTGGTGTGAGGAGGCATCTGATGAAAAAACCGTCTCGGAGTCAGATCACCAGGACAAGCAAAAAATTAGCATCAACTCCATCTGTCAAGAAGAAGAAGAAGAAGAAGAAGCTGGATAGAAAGCCCCATGAGGTATCCATGTGCTGTCCTCCCACACTTGTTCAGAAGCCATAAATCAGGACTAAAAACAGGCACTTTATAAAGTGATAAATGTGGTTTTGATATATTTAATTCTTTACATGACCTTGGGGGTGACATTTCAAGCTCTTATCCATGATCATGAGGGCTGAAAATACACTTTTTTTCAATGAAAGCAGAGATTTCGCTGAAATCACAAAGCTTCAACCTTGGGAAAGACGTTAAAAAGTCACAGAAATGGTAGTGCTGTTGTGGAAGTTGGCAGCACAGTAACATCACAATCTCTGGTAAGTGTGGGAAATTTTGGGGGAAACCAGGAAGCAGGCAGAGGACAAAATTGTCACAGTTTGGTAGAGGGGTGCAGCATAGCATCGTTGTCTCTCCTCAGCCCACGCCATCTGACTTGGAGCTTTGTGGTGCTCCATGTATTGATGGAAGCTCCTGCCATGCTGCCAGTGATATTTGTCCTGGCTGCTTCTGTTCACCAAACCTCTAGTTAGCTAAGACAGGTTTACTCAGGCAGTGCTTTCGACCAAGTGGTACCTTGAGAACAAACCTGAGGCTTTCCATCTATTGTTGATGGAGCTGTATGCATCAGGGGAAGGCTCATGTCCTCGCTGTAATTCACAACAGGTGTTTGTGGAGCTGAACGAGCTGGTGGTCGATAAGAACCAGGAGATGCACTGGAGGGAGACGGCCCGCTGGATCAAGTTTGAGGAGGATGTGGAGGAGGACACAGCAAGGTGGGGGAAACCCCACGTGGCTTCGCTGTCCTTCCGCAGCCTGCTGGAGCTCAGGAAGACGATTGCCCATGGTGAGTCAGGAACTGACAGCCAGGGTTTGTGTCTTGCTCTGGGACAGGTTTTGCTGGGCAGCTTCTGTCGCTGTTTGGCCCCTCACTGGAGACACTCCAGCAGTGTCCGTGTCCAGGCTCCATGTAGGGTCTGCAGAGACAGACTGTCCTGCAGCCCATTTGCCAGGGTTTCTGTTAGCCCAAGGGTGCCTGTGTTGGTTCCTTGCTCTGCTTTGCTGCTCTTGGGCACGTGGCAGCTGTGGCACCCAGCTGTGCCGGGGCCTGGGGTCTTTGACCCATCTTTGGTGTGAAAGGTCAAGTTTGGTCAGGGTGGGAGGCCAAAACAAGAGGGAGGTACCAGAGCTACTACTGCATCTTGGAGTTTTTGAGTTCTCCTGGGACAAGGGTTTATACAGAGGACTTGGGACACCTGGACTTGGGACATTTCTCAGCCGAGGAATCTGTAGCCCAGCCAAAGCCTGGCTTGTGGTGGGACAGCTGTGTGCGGCGGGGAGGCTGCGCACTAGGAACAGGGATCTTCCCCTCCTGCTGGCAGGTGCCGTCCTCCTGGACCTGGAGCAGACCACACTGCCCGGCATCGCTCACCTCATGGTGGAGACCATGATCATCTCTGACCAGATCAGAGCGGAGGACCGAGCCAATGTGCTGCGTGCCCTGCTGCTGAAGCACAGGTGGGTGGTACATGGCTGAGGGCTGCTGGGACTCAGGAGCTGTCTGCGAGCCCTGGGTGGCACAGGAGGTGGATCCCCTCATGGCCGCTGCTCTCCCCCTCAGCCACCCCAATGATGAGAAGGAGGGCTTCTTCCCGAGGAACCACTCCAGCTCCAGCATGAACTCTGTCGTGGGGAACCACCACCACAACCACACCACTGACACCTGCGTGCCCCTCATGGGGGAAGAGCGCATCGAGATGGCTGACCCCAAGGCCCATGAGACCGAGTGCAAGGAGGTGAGGGTCACCTGGGGGTTTACTGCTTCTTTTTCCACACCCTGGTGACAAGCGTTGGCCGGCGGCAGCCCCTGGCACCCACCTCTGGGCTCCTTCATGGGCAGCCTTGTTCTTGCAAGGGCTGAGCTCCCCTGGATCACCTGGAGTGCTGGAAATCAGGTCGCTGTGTTATGATTTCGAGACCTAATTTTAGCCTCATGCTTTATGCAAATGTATGCTTGAGCATGCGATGGCAGCAACAGCCCTGGGGCTTGCAGGGTGGCCGTTTCCTGCGAGGGTGCCTTGCCTCTGAGGCAGGGTGTTGGGCGTGCAGCCGAGGCAAGCCCGGCTGCGGATATGCTGGTGGGGTGCAAGGCTCTGCAGGGAGACCAAGGCACGGGAACTCCACCCTTACTTGTTTTTGTTCTTCCCTAGCAGAAAAACCCGCATCTCCATAACTCTGAGGGCCACCGTAAATACCTGAAGCTGATGGAGAAGATCCCTGAAGATGCAGAGGCCACAGTGGTCCTCGTGGGTAAGAGACAGCATGTAGAGTCCCCTGGCACCAAAAGAGACCAGTTCAGATCCTGGTCTGTCTCCTGCTTTCTGTACCCTCCCTTCTGAGGGGTATTTGGTCATCTTGTACCTGTTCCCAAAGTTCAGCTGGGAGGGAGCCTTGTATGCTCTCTCCTTTGGTGACAGCACACATTTTGTCTGTGGTAAATGTAAGGGGTACCTAGGTAGTTCCTTTCTTAAATTAAGAGGTTGACAGACACTGCTGCTGGGAGCTGGGGCCCACCTTACAGGAGAAAGTCCCACAAGACTCACCAGAACATCCCATTTTGCAGCTCAGAAGTGGGTAAGTGGCACCTGAGGGACTTATGGCCAGTCTCTGACTGTCCTCTGGCCATCGCTGCCCTCTGTCCGGCCTCCTCCCACCTTGCCATCAGCTGGTCCCTGCCCTGGGCAGGCTTGGTGGCTGGCTGTGTGTGCCCAGGAGCTTTGGGTTTATGGAAGCAGGGCCTGGCTGGTGGCAAGATCTTGAGTATCGGCTGTCGCGCTGCCGGGAGATATTTCTCTGTACAAGAGAGTTGTGGGTGGGCAGGCTTGAGCATCAGTGCGCTTAGCGCCTTCTGACCACAAGAGCAGTCCTTCTCAGCACTTTGCTGGCATTAACATCTCAGCAAATGCAGCTACACTGCAAGCAAATTGAATGTCATTGCCTATCCGGTCAGATGAAAAGCTCAGGCAAAGAGGCTTGGCAGCTCAGCCAAGCTGATGCTTAACCACAGCGAGGCCCCATCAGCTCCATAAACGCCCTTTGAACACTCAGATAACTAAACACTGGCCACTTCTGAGGTAAGGCTTTGTCCTGGGTTTCGCTTGGCCACTCAGGTGGCCCAGATTTGCCAGTCTAACACAGAACACAGCTCTTTGCTGGACATGGATGACAGAAAGATCAGTAATAATGCCAAAGAAGTACAAGTATTCAATAAACGTTTGTGTTCAGTATGGGAAGGAAGCGGCTGGTGTGCCGGAGGATGCGGGAGTACTTCCCAATCTGTTAGGAACCTAGGAGGCTGCCAAGCATTGATGAGATGCGGACATCGTAAAACAAACTGTGCAGTTTGCACCTATGAGTCTGTAGAGAACTGGCGCATCTTCATCTGAAAAAAAGTCTAGGGATACAGGGAACATACGAGAAAAACAGAAGAAAGCTCATAGCATCAGTGCTTAACAAGGAAAGGACAGTGATCCTGTACCTGTAGGCTGTTTAACCTGACATCCTTCCCAGCCAAAATCATGGCAGAGCTAATATGGGATTCAATTAATAAAGAGCTAAAGGATAAGAATGTAATTATTGCCAAGCAGTGAGGTTTATGGGAAATAGGTCATGTCAAGCAAACCTGATTTCATTCTCTGATGAGATTAGAAGTTTGTTTGATAAAAGTAACATGTAAGAGACTTCCTTCCATAAGGCAGTGTCTTAGTGGAAAACAACCTTCTGATTTAAAATTAGCCCCTTATAGTGTAAGTAGAGCCCATGTGTGAGAGATGAAGAATGGGGTAATTGGGAAAGGTAAGGAAAGTAGCACTGCTTGGAAATGATCAGTGAAGAGGGGACTTGGAGTAGTATTAGCATTATGTTCGCTGGTGTGTCAGTGGTCTGGAGACAAGTACAGGTCTCCAGGGCTCGTGGGAACCCCCAAAATCACTGTTTCCACTGTTAAAGGCAACCCAGTACAGCTCACCCCGGTGATTAACTCTGCTGAAAACATTGCCTCCTGGCAGGTTGTGTGCAGTTCCTGGAGCAGCCAACTATGGCCTTTGTTCGACTCAATGAGGCCGTCTTCCTGGAATCTGTCTTGGAGGTCCCAATTCCTGTCAGATTCATCTTTGTGCTGCTGGGACCGAGCCAAGCCAACATGGACTACCATGAAATCGGCCGCTCAATCTCCACCCTCATGTCTGACAAGGTGAGGAGCTGACAGGCGGTGATGCTGGCGCAGGCAAAGGAGCTTCGGTCGCTCCTCAGAAGTCAGCTCTGGGCCGAGAGCACTGAGAGATGCTGTGCAAAGGCCCAGGCGGGGCGGGCAGGAGGGAGCACCCGGGATTTTTAAGAGCAGCCTGGCTCGACTGAGGTAGGATGCTCCAGTGCTGAGGGAACAGCAGGACAGGCACTTGGCTGGGACAGAGAGTGCTAGGCTGGGTGAAGAAAGGGGCTGTACATAAAAGCAAGAGCAAAGGACTGCCCAAGGTAGAGGAGTTGTGTTCAGCTGACGTTTCACAAACAGAGAGGAGGTGAGGCTGAGCAGTGCCTGTGAGCATGACGCCTGGCCCAGGCCATGCTGACAAAAGACCCCTGGACTGTTGTCAGGTGTTTGGATGAAGCTTTCTAGCTGAGTCCCATGGCTGGGGCATGCAGAGGAGCACATCCGTGCAGGAGCAGAGATGAGGAGGCAGGAAGGTTTTTCTGCCAAGCATGTGCAGTGCTAGAAGTCCCATCTGGCTAGATGGCAGGAAAGTGAAATTCGCTATCCTGGTAAGGAATTAAAGGCAAAGAAAAGACAAATCTGATCATCTGCTCCATACATCCTGGACAGGAGATTCAGAGGTTCGCAAGGTCTTCCTGGCTGGTGTCGTGTAACTATAACTGAGTAATAAACCTGCCTGTCCTGCCACCAGTGGACAACTCTCCCTGAACTGGGGACTAAAAGGTCCACTCCAGAGCAGGTGGGTCGTGGACAACAAGAGCTCCCAACTGAAAGATATCTTTCCAGGAGCTGCACAGGGCTCAGCTGAGGCCGTGTTTTTAGCCAGGAGAGGTGAGGTGCTATGTTGCAGCTTCAGCGCTGCATTTGTGGGCTGATATCGCCCATCTGAGCCTCTGCTCCTCTGTTGCTGGAAGAGCTTTTGACAGTACAGTTTCATTTACAGTTTGAAGCTGCGGCTCCAGGGAGTCTGTGTGCTGCAGGGACCTTAGCTGTCCCCTGCCTGCTGTACAGGCTGTTCACTTGTTCATCTTCCTCCAGCCCTTTCTCTGCAGGTGCGTTCCAGAGGCAATGCAGCACTTCCACCCGTTTGCCAGCACCTCCCCTCCTATCTGCAGTAGTGTGGTCTGCTCATCTTCTCCTTGGAGTCCTTCGTTGTCATCTTGTTGCCCTTGCTGTTAGGAGTATCTCCCCGTTTCTGACTGGTTTCCTTTGCGTGGCATCCCTCATGCTGTAGATTCCTGTTTTCCCTCCCTCTGCCATGTATAGACTCCCAAGAGTCTCTCGTGCTCCCTGCTCAGGTCCTCGTTCTTGTGCTTTATCTGTTCCACCAGCTTCTCCCTCCAAACAAACCCAAGACCAGATTAGGAGGACATGGGCCTGTTGCAGAGTCCGAATTCTGAGCTGCAGGGACAGGGGAAGTCTTTCATTTCCGTGTTGCCTGGCTCCTGGTACATCTCTGAGCTGGGCTCTGAAGGAGAGCCCTGCAGGACAGAGCAATGGCATGTAGAGCTTGTAAGGAGAAGGATCTTGGCCTGATGCAGCCTCAGGGGTCTGGTGTGAGCGGAAGGCTGGCCCAGCGTAGCACCTAGCTGAGGCAGAGAGGCACCAGGCTAGCTGAAAAGCACAGATCTGGTGGAGTGTGCTGTGGTCTGATGGAGCATGCTGTTGGCAGAGATGCTGCAGGAGCACCATCTTGATAAGAGTGGTGGGGCTTAGGGGAGAAAAGCCGGAGCAAGGGGGTCACTGGAAAAGATGGATAGGGAGGACAGACATGGAATTAGGTGGGACATTGGGTAGTTGGACAGGAGGGATTCAGGAGTATGGGTCACAGAGTGGCAGTAGTGAGACAAGTAGTGGGTTGAGGGAGTGGGATGTTGCTGTATGGTCACAGCAAGTGTGTTTCCAGGATGTAGGTAGCTGGGTACATTCTCTGAGCCTTCTCCTTCTTCTTCCCTGCCCCTCCCAGCACTTCCATGAGGCTGCATACATGGCAGATGACCGTCAAGACCTCCTCAACGCAATCAATGAGTTTTTGGACTGCAGCATTGTCATCCCGCCATCGGAGGTGGAGGGGAAAGACTTGCTCAAATCCATTGCCACCTTCCAGAAGTTGCTGCTGAGGAAGAGGAAGGAGAGGGAGCAGAAGTCCATGAAGGAGGGGGCTGTCCAGGAAGCCAAAGGTCTCTCCACTCACATTTGGGCAAAAGAGTTTGGGAGGCAGGACGGTGGCGGGGGCAGCGCTGGCAGCTGGGGGCAGCCAGTGGCAGTGGGGATGTGGAGCCACAGGGGACCCACCTGGTTAGCACCGCTGGAGGAAGGTCTCCACGGGGCACAGGGGAGTGGGACAGCCCACGGGCAAACGTGCATTCCCCTGCTCAAGCCCTGCCCTCCGTGCACCTCCAGAGCTGTGTGAAGTGAAAACTGAGGAAGAAGAGGAGGAAGCTGAGGACGACCCTTTGAAGCGGACGGGGATATTTTTTGGAGGTCTGGTTCGGGACATAAAGCGCAGGTACCCCAAATACCTCAGTGACATCAGAGACGCCTTGCACAGCCAGTGTCTCGCGGCCGTTCTCTTCATCTACTTTGCTGCTCTCTCTCCTGCCATCACCTTCGGGGGACTCCTAGGTAATGGGCCTGCTTTCTGGTCTGCTCTTTGCACGCTGGGACACTGGCTGTGTCTGTGTGATGCTGTGCTGGGGTGGGCTTCGGTGCCACTCGCCCAGGGAGAGCAGCGGCGCTGCGCCTCGGCTGCTGCCTTGTCCCCTCCCTGCCGCTTGGCCTCTCCAGCCTCAGCTCCCGGGGCTCCCTCTGCACTCCGTGCCCAACGCAGGGGACCAACGGGACGGGGACCTACCTCCTCCGTCTGGAGCTGCGTCTGCAGCCGGCCTGCCTGCGGTGACAGTGCCTGTGTCCGGGCTATGACACTCACACTTTGTTCTCTTTCCCAGGAGAGAAAACTGAGGGTCTCTGCTGGCACCCCAGCCACTCCTGGTCATTGGCTTCTCAGGGCCTCTGCTGGTGTTTGAAGAAGCTTTTTACAAGGTACCTGTGAGGCAGTGTCCGTGCTTGGCACCCGCTCGCTCCACCCATGCGCTGGGAGGGCAGCCGGCATTTCTCTGCTCTCCAGAGGGTCTGTGGTGGTGTGGACTCCCTGGGTCCTGCCAGGCTGCCCGCAGCTTGGCCAGGGCCGGCCCTGGCTCTGCTGACCCTCTGCAGGTCACGCTGTAAGGACTTCTGCCTGCTGTTGCTGTGTCCCATGGGCTGACCCCCTTGAGTTGTGTAACAGTGCTCCTCTGCCTGCTGACTGTGAGGGGAGCATCGTCTCCCAGCCCTGCGCTGCAGCCCCTCCTGGCACAGCGAGCACTTGTAGCTGCATCCTAAAATAGTGCTCTGTAATACTTTCTTGTTCTTGAGGCTTCCTTTGGAGACTGTTTCACAACTTTTACCTGTCTTCAGGTTTCCTTGTATGGGAACCCAACAACGTTCAGTGTACTACCCATTTGGAAAGTCCCACATACATTACTCTCACCTCTCAGGAGGAGCTCAAGGGTGTGTGCAGAGATATCCTGGCCAGCTGGGATGGACATGTGTCTTTCTCAAGTAGCATGACCTCTTCACTGTTAAAAGCACCCCTGTGTCACTGTACCTTCAAGCAGTGAGTCTAATCCTCCTTTTTTCTGACTCCTAGCATGTCTGGGCTTTTAAAGCATGGTTTTTTGTACAGCTAGATTTTCACCTTGGTGTGTCAAGAGTTTGGAGCCAGTGATGCCATTGTACAGCAGGGGGGTTTCTGCTCTCCTGTGACTGCCCTTCTCACTGACCGCTTTGGCTTTGCCCAGCCATGGTGGACAAAGGTGTACCTCTGCCTTGAGTGAGGGCACCGTCTGTGGTGGCACGGCTAGGAAGGCTGCAAAAGGGGGGATGTGTGGGAGTGAGATACACCTGTGGTTGGTGGCTGGAAGCAGTTGGTGTTGCTGTGATGGGAACAGGCTCGGGACGTATGTGTGGATGAGCAGAGGTGGTGGAGATGGTCTGTTCTGTGGTGAGAGCCTCAGGGCTTTTCTCCACATACATACAACTGTGTTCATACACAGGGCGCTGCCTGGGATCGTGGCCCAGCTAACATAGCCTTTGTGCAGTGGGACATAGCTGGCTGCTCAGGCTCTCCTTAGCGGGGAACAGGCTTGTGCTGTCGAGCGCATGGAGCAGTGGAGAGCTGTGTTTGAGGAATGGCACCTCCGTACGGGTGGGGTGGAGAGCGTCATGCACAGGATGGCTTCAGCAGAGAGCGAAGGAGGTACTCTTACAGGGACCGGAGCAGTGAACACCTGCTTGGTATGAGCTGGCTGGCGTTAGTGCAAAGTCTGCAACTTCACCTGTGACTCCAGCCCTGGATTCACTGTCTCTGTGCTGATGCGGATACTTTTTCCCAGGAGAGTCTGTGATCTTAATGGGGAGGACATGCGGGAGGCAGCCTGAGGAGCCATGAGTAACTCCTTCGCCTTTCCATTTCAGTTCTGCCAGACACAAGGCATTGAGTATCTGACAGGCAGAGTGTGGATTGGTTTGTGGCTCATCGTCTTCATCTTCATTATCGTGGCAGCTGAGGGAAGCTTCTTGGTGCGCTACATCTCGCCCTTCACCCAGGAGATCTTTGCTTTCCTCATCTCCCTCATCTTTATCTACGAGACCTTCTACAAACTGTACAAGGTGAACCTTCCCCAGGGGGATGGGCTGCCGCGTCTCTCAGTCCCCAAGGAACCTGCTGCTTTAGCGTACAGGAGGCAGGGGAACAGGGCAAGCACAGCCACAGCTTTCCTAGGCGCTCTGCAGAGCAGTTCTTTGCTGGCCTCTCACGCCCCAGCCCAGCTGGCCCCTGTGCCACCACAGAGGCTGGCAGGATGAGCCCTAACGTCTGTCTCCCCTTCTTTTCCCACAGGAGGCATTAAAGAGGGGCCACTTTTCTGTCCCCAGCCCTCTCCAGCTGGGTAGGTTGCGAGGCAAGGTGACAGATGCTGGGATTGTCCGCGCCCACCATCTACCACCCTCACCTCTCTGCAGAGCAGGAGACCTCCGCATCCCTCTGCCCCCAATAGTGACAGTGCCCCCCGCCCCTCCTTGCAGTGACCGTGCCTGCTGCTTCTCTCCCCTGCCTAGGTGTTTGCAGAGCATCCTCTGCTGAAGTTCTACCCGCCAAACGTGCAGAGCGGCCTGAATGCCAGCGTGCTCCCTGCGGATGCGATGTCGCTGGGAATCAGGATGCAGCCCAACACCGCCCTCCTCTCCCTCATCCTCATGCTAGGCACCTTCTTCATTGCCTTCTTTATGCGCAAGTTCAAGAACAGCCGTTTCTTAGGAGGAAAGGTGAGAAGTTTGTGGCACCCAGATGTTAAGGGCAAGGGACGTGCCAAACAAATAATGCTTCTTGCTACAGCCGTTTGTTATCCAGAGCATTTGGGCAGTCCCCGAAAGAAACACCAGCAATATAATTAAATACCATGCAGAAAAGATGATAGCCTGGGCTAGGCTGCAGGCCAGAGCTGGCTGTTGATGATGGTGTCTGCGCTGTCCTGCTCCAGTGAGCTTTGCTGAAAAGTCCCCTGGGCCTTGTATCCAGCCAAAGGAGCTTTCCCAGGTCTGGTAAACTAGAATATAGGAGGGAGAGCTTACAGCTTGTTCCATTTGGACATCTCTGTACGTGTGAGGCATCTGCACCATCCGAACAGGCCAGTTGGAGCAATTAGCTGGTCACTTCAGAGTGGCTGGAGAACTGTGTGTTATGTGGGCAGTGGGATGCGCGGCCCCATGGGCCAATGCTGGGTTCCCCTGTCTGGCTTGTCAGCCATGCTCAGGTTTGCCGTGGTGCTTGGCCCTATCAGGGGCTTCGCTTTGCCCCAGGCTCCCTGTAGCAGGGTGGGTGCATGGAGCTGGCCCCTTCCCTTTGCCAGCGAGGGTGTTTGTTCTGCAGGCTCGACGGATCATCGGAGACTTCGGGATCCCCATCTCCATCCTGGTCATGGTGCTGGTGGATTACACCATCACTGACACATACACACAGGTAGGCTCCAGCGCTGCCCCGCAGAGTCCCTCCTGCAGCCCAGCAGTGATCCCTGCGGCACCGTGGTCTGCTCTTGTGCAATGGGGGATTTGCGTTGCCTGCCTCTGTGGTCATAACAGCGCAAACCAGACAGAGATGCTCCCCTTGTCCTCACCCCCACGCTGAAGGGAAGCTCCAAGGGTCTCGCTGAGATGGAGACCAGAGCGGCAGGGACTGGAGTGCCTCTAGTGTCCCCTGATACTCCAGCTGTTGGTAGGGGAGGCTCTAGGGGACCAGAGGGCTTCACTGCAGTGAATTCCTTGTTTGTAACTCTTAAAACTTGCAGTCAATTGGCAAGACATAAATTGGTTATGCACACTGAAGGGAGGGGTTTCGGTGGGGTACTTGTCATGGGTTTAGTACTCAACGTATTTATACTCTCCTTAACTGTAGGCTACTAAATATTTTGATCGCTTTATCTCAGACACAATGATCTCTTTCCCAGTTTATGCACAAACTTAAATGTTATCAAACAAACCCATCTCACAGGTTTCCTTTTATTCCCCATTTTTTAGTAAATATGTAGTTGTATCTTTTTGGTTTGGTGTTTCTTTCAGCTAACACCGGGGAGAGGGTGAAAGGTAGTTCCTGGTCAGCATGCAAGCTTTTTATTAAGACAGCCCAAGGCTTAACAGAATCCAAATGCATTTTTATTCGTTTAAATTTCAATGAAAAACCTGGTTTTATCAGACGTTAGTAAAATCATGCACTTTGTTACATCCTTTTCATACCCGTCTACGCTTCTACAATTAATGTCAAAAGCATGATCGTTTCAGCATTAACTCAGCATATGTACAAAGCTTTCTGAGAGAACGGCACTTAGTTACACAGCTTAGCTCAAGTACAAGCATTCCAGGAATATTATTCATACTTATGCTGATTAACATAAATGCAAATCATAAACTCTCCCTGCAGTGCTCATGCAGGCAGATAGCAAGAACTTCTGTAGAGCAGCACAGTGCCGAGAGTTCAATTGGTGATGAACGCAGGGTCGGGACGATGTACAGCTGGGAGTCTGTGTGGTCTGTGAGCGGAGCACAAAAATGATATTCCCTCTGAACACAATCAGAGTGAGGTCATTTCCAGAGAATGTGTCCAGTTCTGGGGTCCATGCTGCAAAAACAATATTGGAAAAACGTCTCAGAAAAGGCTTGGAAAGCCACCTCAGAGAAGGGGAGGCAGTTTGGGACACTTGATTTCTCCAAGCAGAGGTCAAGGAGTGTTTTAATCATGATCTGCAAGCACTGACATGGGGTTGAGGTTCCAGAGGGAAGATATTTCCTTGGTCTCTTGGACAAAAAACAAGGGAATTCCAGTAGCTGAAAGAGGAAATGAGACAGGCCCATGTTAGGGGACATCGGATTTTTTGCGCTGAAGGGGATTATCTGTGAGAGAGTCCCACTCGGGTCAGTGTGGCTGTCCCATCATCTGAGGTGTTCAGACCAGGGAGATGAGGAGAATCAAGATTAGTCCTGTGTGAGGCTGTGGGCACATGTGTATTGATGAGTAACTGCTGGGTTTTGCGGTTACACCACCAGAAACTGAATGTCCCCTCTGGCCTGTCGGTCACATCTCCTCACAAGCGTGGCTGGTTCATTCACCCCATGGGCAGCACTGGGACCTTTCCAATGTGGATGATGTTTGCCTCTGCCATCCCTGCCCTCCTGGTCTTCATTCTTATCTTCATGGAGACACAGATCACTACGTGAGTACCTCCCCTGCCAGTGCCAACCATCACTGGCCCCTAGGCAGGCAAGGCTGGTATGGGTACTGGTGGCATTGGTGTGGAGATGCGCCTGGCAAGGACAGCAAGGGCAGGATCCTGCCCATTTCGGACTGTACCTGCTTGGGTTCTCCCTTTGTCTCTTGGCTCCCCTCCTGGCATACAGTGTGGTGGCCCCCTGCCTCTGCCAAGCGCAGGAGGAAACCTCTAACCTGAGGTTGACAGCCGCCATCCCTCTCCTCAGCCATCTCCTTGTTGTCTGCATGTGTGGCCTTTGCAGAGAGTGGACGTTGTCCCCAGCCACAGTGCTGTCCCTGGGCCTGGCACTGACTCTTGCTCTTTTTTCCTCCCAGGCTGATTGTGAGCAAGAAGGAGAGGAAGCTGCTGAAAGGCTCTGGCTTCCACCTGGACCTGCTGCTCATAGGCACTATGGGGGGTCTTTGTGCCCTCTTTGGGCTGCCCTGGCTGACAGCGGCAACGGTGCGCTCCGTCACCCACGTCAATGCCCTGACGGTCATGAGCAAGGCCATTGCGCCAGGAGAGAAGCCCAAGATCGAGGAGGTGAAGGAGCAGCGTGTGACCGGAGTGCTTATTGCTGCCCTCGTCGGTGAGCCTCTGCTCGGGTGAAGGGGTGAGGGGGGAGGTCAGGGCTGACCACTCGAAGCTCCCTCCTGGCAGCGTCCCTGCCCCACAGACGCGCCTGCACTCTGCCTGCTTGCTGCAGGACTGCTCCCACCTTCACGCATGCCAGCTCTCCTCTAGCAGCCTTTGGTAGCCCCTCATGGTCAGTCCTTCTCTGCAATGCCTCCAGCTAGACCCCTCTTGAGCTTCTTTTCCCTTGCACCCCGGGACGGACAGAGGGGAGGTGGGAGGGGGACGGAGGCCGGAGTGCCTTGCAGAGGGGCTGGCGTGGGACACACCGTGCCCTGAGCTCTGTCTGTGCAGGTCTGTCCATTGTGATGGGCAACATGCTGCGGCAGATCCCGCTGGCTGTGCTTTTCGGCATCTTCCTCTACATGGGGGTTACGTCTCTCACTGGCATCCAGCTCTACGAGCGGCTGCTCCTGATCTTCATGCCATCCAAGCACCACCCTGACCACATCTATGTTGTTAAGGTGAGCGAAGGCTGGTTGCGGGGAACCGGGTAATAAGCAGAGGAAGAAGAGGCAGGTGAAGGGGAGGATGGTGCCTTGCTAGAGTGATGCTTGGCTTGGTGACCCCCCTCAGCTGCAAGTTTGTGCCGAGAGGTGGTGCAGTGTGCTGACAGACTGCACGCAGGAGTGTGATGCAAGGATATTGTACGGACAGGCTGTTTATAGGGGTGATGCAGTGCTTGAGCTGCGAGTGGGTGTGCTGGTAGGTGGCACAGAGCCTGCTGTGGTGTGGAGTTCTGCCTTGCTGTAGCGTACATGCAGGTAAGAGCGTGCAGCAGTGTTGCGTTATGGTACTACCGTACGCAGAAGGGTTATGTTTTGCCAGTTGGTTGTTCATTAATCTTTGTGGAAGGATAAAGTGTTCTTTGACTGGATTTACCTCCCTAGGTGAAGACCTGGAGAATGAATCTCTTCACCTGCATTCAACTGGCCTGCATTGTGCTGCTCTGGGTGGTGAAATCTACGGTGGCATCCTTGGCCTTCCCCTTCGTCCTGATCATGACAGTGCCATTGCGACGCTTCGTGCTTCCCCGCTTCTTCCATGACAGGGAGCTCAAAGCGGTAAGCGGATAACTGTCCTCACAGTCTGGCTTGCAACACTGGAATGAGGTTGAGGAGGTTCAGC